GGGCACGTGGGGACGCGTGGGGACACACTGGGACAGGTGGGGATGGGGGCGACACACTGGGGCAGGCGGGGACATAGGACACGCAGGGACATGTAGGGACGCAACAGGACACGTGGGGACACATGGGGACGTGTGGGGACACAAGGGGACACGAGGCGACACGTGGGGACATGCAGAGACACCAATGTACATGCAGGGACAGAAAGGGGTATGGGACACAAGGGGACACGTGGGGACATGCAGGGATGCATGGGGACACGGAACATGTGGGGACATGCAGGGACACGTGTGGGCATGCGGGGATGTGTGGGACACGAGGGGGCACGCGGGGATGCGCGGGGACACAAAGGGACACACGGGGGCACATGGGGACATGCGGGGACACGTGTGGGCATGCGGGGATGTGCAGGGACATAAAGGGACACATGGGGACATAAGGGGACACAAAGGGACATGCGGGGACACCTGGGGGCATGTAGGGGCATGTGGGGACACGTGGGGACGTGCAGGGACACAAAGGGATGCGTGGGGATACAAAGGGACATGTGGGGACATAAGGGGACACAAAGGGACATGCGGGGACACGTGTGGGCATGCAGGGACATGCGGCGACACGCAGGGATGCGCGGGGACACAAAGGGACACGCAGGGACACTCAGGGACGTGTGGACACACAGGGGCATGTGGGGACGCGCGGGGACACAAAGGGATGCGTGGTGAGACAAAAGGGACACGCGGGGACTTAAGGGGACACAAAGGGACACACGGAGACATAAGGGGCCTCAAAGGGACACATGGGGACATGTGGGGGCACGTGGGGACACGAGGGGGTATGTGGGGACATGCAGGCATGCATGGGGACACAAAGGGATGGACACGCAGGGACTTAAGGGGACACAAAGGGACACACGGGGACATAAGGGGCCACAAAGGAATACATGCGGACATGTGTGGGCATGCAGGGACATGTCGGGGCATGTGGGGACACGAGGGGGTGTGTGGGGATACGCAGGGATGCGTGGGGACACAAAGGGATGCTTGAGGACCCAAAGGGACACGCAGGGATTTAAGGGGACACAAAGGGCCACACGGGGACATAAGGGGACACAAAGGGCCACGCGGTGACACCGTGCTGTCCCCGCAGGCCCCAGCTCCGTGAGCCTGGGGATCTCCCTGCCCGGCTTCGAGCACGTCTACGGGCTGCCCGAGCACGCCGAGAGCCTGCGCCTGCGCCCCACCGAGTGAGCGGGGACGGGGACAACGGGGACAACGGGGACAACGGGGACGGCGGTGCCACCGGCGCCACCGCGCGCGGGGGACGCTCACGGTGTCACCCGCAGGGCCGGCGACCCCTACCGCCTGTACAACCTGGACGTGTTCCAGTACGAGCTGTACAACCCCATGGCGCTGTACGGCTCCGTGCCGCTGCTGCTGGCGCACCGCGCGCGCCGCACGCTGGGCGTCTTCTGGCTCAACGCCGCCGAGACCTGGGTGGACATCGGCTCCAACACGGCCGGGAAGGTGCGGGAATGCGGGATTGGGAATGCAGGATTAATACTGGGAATGTGGGATTGGGAATGTGGGATTGGTATTGGGGTGGCGCACCGCGCGCGCCGCACACTCGGCGTCTTCTGGCTCAGCGCCGCCGAGACCTGGGTGGACATCGGCTCCAACACGGCTGGGAAGGTGCAGCAATGCGGGATTGGGAATGTGGGATTGGAATTGGGAATGTAGGATTGGGAATTTGGGATTGGGGTGGCACGCGGGGCCGGCTCACTCACCGCGCGCGCCGCACACTGGGCCTTTGGTTACCAAGACCTGGGTGGACTTTGGGTCCAACGCGACTGGTAAGGTGCGGGAATGCGGGATCGGGAATGCAGGCCCAGGACTGGAATTGGGCTTGGGAATTCCGGCTCGGGAATGTGGGATGGGATCTGCTGGCGCTCCCGCAGACGCTGCTCGGGAAGGTGCTGGACTACCGGGACCAGGATTGGGAGCGGGAATGCGGGACCAGGACTGGGATTAGGTTCGGGATTTCGGGCTCGGGAATGTGGGATGTGGAATTCGGGATGGGATCCGGCGGCGCTCCCGCAGACGCTGCTCGGGAAGGTGCTGGACTAC